ATCAATTCATATTTGAAATTAGTGATTAATTTGCACTTTTGATCAATACTTACTTCTTCAATATTCAGTTTTTTCCCCCCAAACTCAGTTGAATTAAAAGTTTGATTTCTGTTTTTTTTTAGTGTGAGGTCATCCTGCTGCTTTATTAAAATACTTTTTTGTTTAAAGTTGTTTTTCCGTCTTTACCTGAGCCTCCATCTGCTCCGGCTCAGCAGCTAACTTTGTGTTAATTAGCGTTTTAATGTGATGGCCTGGTTCTGATGAGGCGGATCTATTCCAGGAGCTCCCTGCAGCTTTGAAACAATCCCGGTTCTGAAGCCGCTTCGTTTTCATCGGGATGAACCTTTTTCAGATTTGGACCCGAGCAGAGTGTGCAAAGGGAAAGGGGTGGTGACCCTGAGGGCGACCCTCGTCCACATCGACGACGACGACGACGGCGAGCCGAATGTCATCACAGCTGCAAGTATGTCGGGTTTTTCACTGCAGCTCTGAGCGTGATGAAACAATATTTAGCGTGGGGAAATAATCGCATGACTGACTGCAGAAGATGACATTTCATCATGTTGTAGAGGCTTCGCTGAGCTCTGACCCAGACGCTCAGAACCAATTGCTCATATTTTCATGCAAATGTCAGAGAGCGTTCTTCCTGCCCACGCTGTGCTCCGGACCGCAGGCTGTGGGCCCGTTTGTTGCTCAGAGCCCTTCAGAACCGGACTGGAAACAGGGAGGCGCTTTAATTGTTGCGCAGCGGCACTAAAAAGGAACAAACGATCTTTGCATCCGACTGAAAAGGCTTTTTGTTCTCCTCACAAAGTTCAGAGATTGTGGGAGAATCTTGTTTTTTTCCACTTTTCTGTACATGAAGCTCAGAAAAGGAAAGAACGGAGGACATGCAGCAGCAACAATCTGCAACGGCGTTTTAAAAACAAGGAGTAAATGACAGCAAAAACAAATTTATAGGAAAAAGAAATTTTCTGAGTTTGAAAAGTCTAATTTTCCTTTCTTTTAAAATTCACAAGTTGAGATTAATCTCAAAACATCAGATTTTTTCTAGCAGTTTTTTGACTTTTCAAATTTAGAAATTTGCTTATTTTTTTCCAGAAAAATTCTTTAGATTGATCCAAGTTAATTTATTTTTTTAGCAAATGTTTCACTTTCCAAACTCAGAAATCTTCATGCTTTCTCTAGAAAATTTTAGATTAATCTCAGAATTAGAGTTTTCTCAAGAAAATTGACTTTTCAAACTGAGAAACATCAGCGTGTTTCTAGAAAATTTCTGAGATTAATTTCAGGGTTTTTTTTCTAGCAATTTTTTTACCTTTTCAAGCTTAGAAATGTCCTTGTTTTCTGTGGAAAATATTTGGGGTGAATCTAAAAATTTTAAAGTTTGTCTAGAAAATGTTCTACTTTTCAAACTCAGAAATTTCCTATTTTTTCTAGAATATTTCTGAGATTAATTTAATAGTTTTGAGTTTTATCCAGCAAAATTTCAGAAATTTCCGAGATTTTTCTACAAATTTTCTGAGATCAATCTAAAACTTTCTGATTTATTTTGTAGCTTTTCAAAGTCAGAAATATTTTTTTTCTGTCTATAAATGTGATTTTTTTGGCAGATATTTACCTTTTTCTTGTCTTTTTCTTGTGAAATGCCCCTGGTCCTCCACTGTATTTATCTGCTGTGGTTCACTGACATGCCACACCTTTCAGCGCCTCCCCCAGTGTTTGTCCTGCTGCAGCAGCGGCTGCCGCGCTCACAGCGTTCTGGACTCGTTTCAGGCAGCTGGACCGGCCAGATTAATGGAGACGGATCCAAAGCAGGAGCGGCCGAGGGCGGCAGCAGCAACGCGCCTCATTTACCTCCTGAGAGCAGCAGCCAGCGCCAGGTAGGATCGCTTCACCTCGGTCCGCTTCGCCTCGTTTAACCAGCTTTATGGAAACATAACGTTCAGTTCTGCTTTTTCTGTGTTTCTTAGGCCTTTTCACCCAGAAGCATAAGAGAAAACGAAGCTGCTTCTCCTGCAGATGCTCTGCACGTCGACCCCTCGGCTCCCGGTTGTGTTTATCCGCGCACCAGTTCAGTCAACCCCACCATCGTCCTGCTGCAGCACAACAGAGGTGAGCCGCAGCAGGAGCTGCAGTTTCTGACCCGTCACCAACTTGTGAGGCACGTTTGTCGTTCTGCTTCTGCGTCTCTAACCCAACTGATGCTTTCACACTTCAGCTTTGGCTGCTGAGTCACTTTTCGCCGTTTGTCTCTCTCTCGCCACAGAGCAGCAAAAGAATCCGCCTCACTTCGAAGGTACGCGCTCCGGTTTCAGCAGCACATTCACTCACCATTTTCGTCAGGCAGAAACTTAGATCTTCTGCACACAGAGACGACAGAGACATGTCTACATTTGTTTTCTTAGGGTGGAAAACGGGCAAAAACAGTCGGCCAGGGGTGTCCAAAGTGCGGTGCAGGGGCCATTTTCGTCCCTCTGAGGGATTTTTTGCGGCCCCCTGACCTCAATGCAAGCTTTTTTCATCTTGTAGAGCAAAATTTTCTACAGAGAAAAACATCTTAAAAATTTATCTAGACGTTTCTGCATTCGTCTTTAATCTGGAGTAACTAAACACCGACCTGCGTTTACTAAACGCAAAGCATTCAGCCCAAATAAGGAGACAATCAACCCCGAAGTGAGAAACCTTTGTTTTACGCAATCGTGCAAAACCTTTTCTATGTTTTGTATTTACAACTATTTAAAGTGTTACTTTAGTTTATTGAGCAGGTAGAAAAGGCACAAAAAGTTTGTTTTAAAATATTTCTGTGGTCCCAAACAGTTGGGCCAGTTGAGACCAAAACACCAAACTGAACAGTTTATCCTCCAGTTTTTGGTAGAAAGAGAGAAAAAATAGAAAAACAATAAATGATACAAATGGAAATTATTTTACTTTAAAATGCGATTACTTGATTTGTTGTAAAAGGAGAATTTCTGTCCTCTGCTGACATGGAATGTGAGCAGAAACGCTGATCTATGAACGACATGATGTAAACAAACCAATCAGGTTTCATGTGTTCATTTACATCAGAATCAGTTTTATTCACCAGGTATGTGCACATAAACAAGGAACTTGGTTTCACTTTCACTTTACTCCTACAGAAGACATTCCTCCTCTTCCTGTTAGCGTGTGGCGCCAGTATCAGCTGCTGCTGAATGTTTGTTCCTCAGCTGAGATAAAAGCAGGAACACTGTTGAAACGATTTGAGTTGGTTTGACGACACGGAGTTTATGCCAGTTTGTTGGATTTGAGGCTGCAGACCAGACAGGATGCTCACCTGGGGAACGTTTGGCGCCAGAACAGAATGCATTGTGGGAATGAAACCAGCTGACAGGCAGAGTGATGCTGGAAACCGTCCGAGGGTCACTTTCACATTCTCCACCTACTGAGCAAGTGTTGGAGTCAGAGGCGCCTGAGGAATGCAGCAGTCTGATGATGATGATGATGATGATGATGATGATGATGATGATGGACTTTTCTAATCCCCCACAGATTGGGTTAGCACACAAGTGTGCAGGGCTGAAGCTAATGACGGCTATAGTAATTGATTAATCGGTTAATATTTGATTAATTGGATAAAAATTGGCACATTTTGCATGTTTTTAATTTAACCTTTAATCCATTTTATACAACTTTAGAAATACATTGCTAAATTAGTTGTATAAAAAGCAAATGAAAAATATGTGGAATGTGCTTTTTTCTTATCCGATTAATCGATTATTTGTCAGAATAATTGATGGATTATAAGGTTTGTTTGTTTCCTCCGTTTTCTCTTGTTTTATAAACAGTCGGTGTGGAATCTGCTGTGTTTTTGCCAGCTTAAGATCAGATTGAAAGATGAGATTATTTCTGCGAAGTCCTGACATGTGAAAGCCAGAACTGAGAGGTTCTGTTTGCTTTCACACGGCGGCGGCGCCGTTCTGATTGCAGCGTCCATGTTGGACGACATGAACACAGAAACATTTCTCACTCATCTGCCTTAATAAACGCCATAATGTGCCTCATTCACACACCCATGTCAACAGTTACTGCTATGCAGACCCAACAGCTGTGAAATATTTAAGATGTTTTGCAGTCATACTTCATTTATTATCCTCTGTGCAGCAGTTTGGACTTGTGACAACAACCATTAAATTATAGTTGTGGCATATTTAGATAATTGCAGGTTAACTGAAAACAAAATAAGCAACATTTTCCATCCTGAAGCCTTTTTGCTGCTGAATTATTGAATAAATAGACATTTGAGCTCAATAACAAGATATTTGTTGTTTTTCATCTGTTGCCTGAGTGAAGTTGGTCTCCATTTTCTTCAAATCTAACAAAATTAGTGTCAGACGTTTGTGCAGGAAAAATTTTAAAGGCATTACCAAATGTGTCCGGAGGTCATAAAAGGTCAACCAGCGCCAATTTTGGTGCAATTGGTGCATTAAAGTAGTAATTGATTAATTATTTGCTAGAGTATATAGATAAAAAAAAAGCGTGCTATATCTTCATGTCAGTCAACTTGACTACATTTTTTCAATTTGTTTTGTTTGCTGCTTTTGCTTTGAAGATACTAATGAAGGTTTAAAGGTTAAAGGTCAACCAGCCCCAGCATCAGTCCAATCCAACAAAATTGGTAAATGTTTGTGGTACATTTGTACTGTAAAATGTTTTGTTTGTGACGCTATCTTTTTAAAAAATACTATTAAAAAAAGTTTCCAGAGGTCATCAGGGGTCATGAGAGGTCAGCTGCCCATACTCACATGTACAATATCAAACAAATTTGATGCGAATGAACTGGGCTACGTTTGTGCTGCTTTTGCTTCAAAGAGATTGATAATGACCTCTGATGACCTCTGGAAGCTTTTTTATTAACATCTTTAACAGCAGCACAAACGTTTGATGGATTTGAAGACGGACGGCTTCACTGGTAGCTAAACAGGGAAGTTGGTGGAATCAACTGACTCGTTGATTCCACCAGTTGCCGGGCAACTGAGTTGCCTAGCAACTCACTCACTCTTTGGTTACCTAGCAACGACCTGTTGAGTAACTTGCACAGCAGCAGTTTAATGTTTCACCACTTTGCCTCCTAACTGCTTAAAAATAATGATATTAAAAACAAAACAAACCTGATCAATAAGTTTGTATTGGCTGATACGAAACGTTTATAATGTGATACCATATAAGTGAATAAAAATTATTTTTATTGGTGAGGCTAAATTTATAGTTGAATCATTAGATTTAACAGAAAAAACGTTTAAAATGTCAGCTTGGGATGAATCTAGCAGCTTCTGAAACTGCCTGATCTGCATGAAGTCCAGGGTTTTAATGTTCTCCTCCTGGGTGTCTGTTTCTCATGCCGGTCGGTCTGCTGTGCTTTACAGAGCCGGACCCGGACAAAGGCCCCGGTCCCAGCAGGGACTCCGTGAGTCCAGGCTCTGACATGGACGGGACGAGGCTGCGGCTGGCGCTGCACTCCCCCGTCCGCGGCCCCATAAGCAAACCCATTGTGCCTGTTCGGGTGAGCAGCCTCTGTCTGATGGAGACAGATTTACTCACTTCGGACTAATAAAGACCTTCTGTTCACAGAAACCACGTTTTCTTTACTCCTCTGTGGAAAACAGACATATTTCCATCAGGGTTACCAGTTAATCTTCTGTTATTGATGACTACACTGCAAAAACACAAAGTCTTACCAAGTGTTTTTGGTCTGATTTACAGTGTAAATGTCTTGGAACAAAACTGACTTTAAAGCAATTTTTATCAATTTAAACTAGGTTCTTTTAAGTTAATAAATGCTTCATGTTGATGAAAAAGTTCTAGTTCCACTTTTAACAGAAGAAAAATGTCTTATAATTTATTGCAATAAATCAATTAATCACATGATAAATTAAAACTAACTTAAACATTTGCATGATTTCTTGTTTTTGTCTTTTGTTTCTAATGTTTATTGATTAATTTTTTATATTTACAATGTCTTCCTGCTCCAGAGTTAAATGTTCAGTGGAATTTAAAGTTAATTGATCTTTGACAATACTACTTGAAAATTGTCACAGAACAACAATATTATCATTTTATTACCACAAAATGTTATGTGGCAGGTCTACTTATATGTGAAATAATGGAACTAGCACTTTGTTCATCAATGTTAAGGATTTATTAACTTAAACTGAAAAGTTACTTGTAAGTTAGTTTTGTCTTATTTCAAATGTCTAGAAATATTTTCACTAGAAATTACAGAATGTACCTGGTAATATTTGTTTTTGCAGTGCGTTCTGCTTGTCATTGTGATCGTTACATGATCTGTTTCTAATTTCTCACATTTTAATTTCAGAACACTGAAAAGTCCAAGGACTGGTATAAGACCATGTTCAAACAGATCCATAAGTTACCCGGTGAGTCCGTCCTCCTGCGCCGTCGGCTTTGTGTCCCTGTTGCCATCCAGCGTGTGTCCCTGTCCCTCATGTCCTCTGTCTCACTGTGCTCAGAGCCTTTTGAGGAAAACCCCTACCGCCCCACCTACATTTTCCCCGAGACCTTTGACATTCGCATGACCCCAAAAGGTACCGATGGCGGCAGCCGCGCTCTCATTGGCTTTTACTAATCTGCAGCCATTTTCAGCTCCGGTTCCTCCAGTCTGCAGAAACACAGAAATGCTTTAGTAAACCTTCTCTGGTGTTTGTCCAAACCTCAGAGCCTCCAGCCACAAAAACAAACATTAAACTGATTCAATGCGGCTGGGGAGGATCAGCCAGACGGGTTTTTTTTTTTTTTTTTTCGGGTAAATTTGGACAAAAACGTTCAAATTTAAATAAACATAAGCTAATGTTGTAATTTTCCTTTTAACCCAAATGTTTTAGTTTGTGATATGTAAGAATTCATAATTACTTTAAAGAAAGTTGTATTTTTTACTATATTTCTCATAAACGCAATGCAGGCTGGTAGGTTATAGTGAAATCAGGTTTTTATAAACAAAATATAAGAAGATAATGTGAAAAATTTTAATTTTCATGTTATAAACAAGATATTTACTGAAACAAACATGATTAGCTTCTGCTCCACTGTTTACTACATTAGCAGGACCTAACACAGTTAGCAGGAGAGAGCTAACACCGTTAGCAGGAGCTAACAACATTAGCAGGAGTAAACACAATAAGAAAGAGCTAACACAATAAGAAAGAGCTAACAGTATAAGCAGGAGCTAACACTGTTAGCAGCAGTCAGCTAACACCATAAGAAAGAGCTAACAGTATAAGCAGGAGCTAACACTGTTAGCAGCAGTCAGCTAACACCATAAGAAAGAGCTAACAACATAAGCAGGAGCCAACACCAGTTAGAAGGAGGCAGCTAACAATATAAGCAGGAGCTAACGCTTTAGCCAGCTGACTAAAGCGCTTTAGTTAGCTGACTAACGCTTTAGTCAGCTAACACCATAAGCAGGAGCTAAAGCAGAATCAAAACAAATTTGAAGATGATGAATGGATGTTTACAGTGAAACTGAACCGTGTTTAGCTCTTTTTGTAGCTCTATATTGTAATATATATGAGAACATATTTAGATCCATGCTTACCGTAAACAGCTTGGCTTGGAGCTTGTTGCTGTCCTCTCCGGTTAGCATTCCTGAGTGTCAGCCACACAAACACCAGATTTTCTTTCCCCTCTTCCTCCATTTGTTGCTCATCATCTTCATTTCTGCTTGTTGTTTCTGTGTTAACTTGTATTTCAATTTCTGGTTCAAATTGAAAGAACTGAATGTTTTTCACTGATCAAAAATTACTGTTCTGGCTGGATGGAGCTAGCCATGTAGCACCTAGCATGGGTCATCTACCTTGGTTGCTTTGCAGCATGAACAACACAGCGACGTCCGAATGACAATATTTCATTTAAATTCATCAAAACTAATTGGCCTGCAGCGTTCTGCTGTGTTTTTAGACTGTTGTTGCAACTAACTGTTGTTGGACATCCAGTGTTTGGAGGGACATCCAGAGCACAAAATGAGAATAAATATCTTAATTTAATGAGGAAAATAAATTTCATTTCTGCCAAAAAACGTAAATTTGCCAGAAAATACTCATAAATTTAGAAAATTTGGAAATTACTAAGTTTCTAAAGTTGAACATTTGCACAAAAAAAAAATCTAAAAAACGTCCAAGTTTTTTTTTTTCAATTTAAAGAAAGTCAGTTTTTTGAGAAAAAACAAACTAGAAATTTCTGAGATGGAAATTTTTTCTCAAAAATGTCTGAGATTATTCTAAAAATTAAAGGGTTTTTTCAAGCAAATTTTTAATTTTTGAAGCTCAGAAATTTCAGACTTTTTCCTAGAAAATTTATGATTAATCTTAAAATTATTTTGAGTTTTTTTTTTTTTTTTTTGGTGAAAAATTACTTTTTTTCTGTCTACAGTAGCCCTGACAATCCTGTATGTGTTATTTTGGTCTGTTAAATTCTTTGTCCATATAAAAGCTCAATATCTCATTTACAACAACCTTAAATAAAGGGTTTTTTTGGGTAAATAAACACATTTATTCCCAAACTTTGCTCCTATGATCATCTGAATAGTTAAAGAATTACAATAAACTCGTATAGCGATTGGAAATAATATGAGAAAAATCACATTTAGTTGTTTAAATTATTGCAGTCATGTTGACGTTTCCATCTGAAGCTCCAGTTAAACATTTATCACCATTTATAAGGTTTTCCATATATGGTTGTTTAGGTAATTATTTAACTGGCTCTAAATAATCAGCACAAACACAGATAGGTTGTTGGCCAGGATGCTCCACTCCTGTAAAAGTTTCTGTCACCTTCACAGATCCTAACTTTTCTCTTTTGGTCCTTATTTCTCTTATTTTCCCTTTTGTTATATTAATCGTTTCAAATTATTGTTCATCATTGGCTGTAGTGCTGAGTTGTGACCACTAGGTGGTGCTGCTGCTCCACAGAACATTTTCTGTACTTTTCATTATCAGTGCTCGGATTTAAGCGCCAGATAATCACAGTTCAATGTGGTTTATTTACATATTTATTTCTACTAAATAAGCTAAGATTTAAACGTGGAGTAAATAATTTGATGTTTAAGTGGTCTGGACATGAATTGTTAATCCTCCTGTAACTAATATTTGACAAAAATATGTATATTTTTATTGCTCGGAGTGCTTTGCCTCATTATTAATTCAAACCCCGTTTTAGCCGAGCGACGCTTCCTGTAAAAAGCTTCGATTTGAGGCTCTTCGATTGACTTGGCGATCCTGTGATGCTGGACCTAATGGAAAGCTAAAAAAAACCTTAAATCTTAATGTGTTTTGAATTATTTAGAGATTTTAAATGTATTTTTTGCTTAAAATCAAGACGTCTGCATTCCCTCTTCTTTTTTTGGTCATTTTGAACGGCTCTTTCAGGTGGATGGTAGGATTATACGACACGCATCTTTAATGATTCATAAGAACAGGAAGTGGATGCACAAATCTGGATACATGGTAGATTTTCTCTCATAAATGCAGAGTTGAAATAATGAATAAAACCTCAGATATTAAAACTCAGCAATATTTAAATTCTGCAGTTTTAAGTTGCAGATAAAACTGCACTGAAAAAACAAAATGAAACTCTAACTTTAAAAAAAGGAGTTCATTTGTTTCTCAAACTTAATTTATTTACGTTTCTTTAACATGACAACTTAATAAACTTAATATATTTACTTGGATTATCTTATTTTATTAGAATTGGATCGCCTGTGTAGCCTCTTATGAAACAGTAAAGCTCTTTCAAACAATAAGTTTAAATGTGTCTCACACAAAATATAAATATATAAATAACTGTAAAGAAATGAACCAGTGGTTAAAGATCTAAAAAATATTTTGTTCCACTAAACAAAACTAGTTTAGAAACAAATTAGCTTATTCAGCTTAGCTCATTACAATAGTTTGATTTTACAATTTAAAAAAAACATTTTCATTTTTGTTTTTAGGTTTTAAAAGAAAGTTATCAAACTTTTTTACACAAAAGGAATAAATATTAATATGAGACCAAATTTAAATGTTTTATCAAAAGCAACTTAACATTCTTCCTCCTCCTCTTCCTCCTCCTGCTCCTTCTTCTTCTACTTTTTCAGACGATGGTCCGACCCCGTTTGTTTACCTGGAAGATGGTGAGTTTTCTGAACATCCGTCCGAAGCGACAAAGAATCTGTTCAGTTTGATCTGAAGAACAGGAAGAACTGTTCAGAGAACTGTTCAGAGAATCGTGCTCAGTTTGATCTGTTTTTCAGGAAGAACTGTTCCGCGCTCTAAAAGCGACGACCTGGTGGACTCCAGAGGGAGGCTGATGCCGGTTCCGACTCGGTCCTCGTCCCTCAAGCCGTCCGCCAGAAGGTCTGGTACCAGACAGGAAGTAGATCCACTAGAACCGCTAGCTTCTGCTGCCGTTTAGTCACTTCCAGTTTTCTGCTGGTTCCTGGGCTGATTCTGACCATCCTGGCCAGTTTTCAGTCACTTCAGGGAGAAAGTGGCTCAGATGGTGGAAAATTGGACTCAAGGTGATCCAAAAACCACAACAAGATTTGGTTTGGGGGTAAAAGACCTAAATTCTGAGAACACAAGTCAGAATTTTAAAATTTGTCAAAATTTGAAGGTTAAAAATCAGAATTCAGAGAGTGAAATCAGAATTCTACAATTTCAGTAAAAATTCTAAGATTAAATTTCCAAATTCAAAGAAAAAATCCAAATGATAAAATTTAGGAAAAAGTCAGAATTGCGAAATTAAAGTCAAAATTCTCAGATTAAAGTCAGAATTATGACTTTTTTCTTATCTCAGAATTTGGAGGGAAAATGTACAAAATTCTCACATTGTCAGAAAAAAATTTGAGTACTAAGATTAAAGTAAAATTTCAAAATTTCTGTCAAAATTCAAAGTAGAAGATCAAAATTCTGAGAAAAAGTCAACATTTTTAGATTAAAATCAGATTTCTAAAATTTAAGTCAGTTGGTTTCTTTTTGTTTTGTCAGTGTCCCTGGTTCTGCATGTTCCTGATTTAATCTTTTGTTTTTCGTCCGTTGGGAAAAGCTGTTTTCTCTCACCGGGTCCGTAATCCAATCACGGCCCAGATTGGATTTTTCTGCCGTGTCGTCGTTAGAGGGAGGAGGCAGGCGCGTTGAAACGTCACGTTTTTTTTTTTAATGAGAAATCGTCTCAGCCCGCGCCGGTTGCCATGGAGACCGCCAGAAAAGGATTGGCTCTCGGTGTCTCTCTCTCTCTGTCTGACTGTCCTTCCTCCACAGGAGCGAGTGGGAGCCGCCGGATAAGAAGGTGGACACCAGGAAGTACCGCGCCGAGCCCAGGAGCATCTTCGACTACGAGCCGGGGAAATCATCCGTCCTGAAGCTGGAGAGAACGGTAACACTCTCTCTCTCTCTGTGTGTGTGTGTGTGTATGGGGTCTGAGGTGCGTCCTCCCCTTCATCATCTTCATCATCTTCCTCTGCCACCTCTGCATCCGAGCTGCTTCACTGCTAATGGTTAGCAACACTCAGGTTCACTGCATTTATAACAAGAGAGAAAAAACAAATCAAGTTGGTGGTTAACATCAGTCCAGCAGCTTCTGCCCCACAGTTACCGACGGCAACAGACTGTGATCGCATTAATATGCATAACTAATCTTATCTTTAGCATAAATGGCAAGTAATAGAGATATTTTTAGTACAGGAAATAAAATCACACAAACTATCACACATTTAATAACTGGAGCATTACTTTGTATGAAAAATAAATAAAACCTACAAAGAAAAAATTGAATTAACATCAATCCAGCAGCTTCTCCCCTGTACAATAAAAACAATATAATAAATAAACCTAAACAGTTCCTACCACCGGTCAATGGCTCTCAGTTAACAGTTGCAAAAGCTTTAACTATAGAAGTTAAAAACATAAACAAACAGACACGCTGCAGCGTGACGTCACAAAAAGCTGCCAGCCGCGATAGCTACCGCTGGTTTTAGCTGTCAACATGACGCGCTAAGTCTTAAATCTACACGTGATGTATACTCAGTGCTTTGCTACTAATTGTAGCACTCTGGCAACTAGAGACAAGGTCAGGAAAATTCAAATATACTGTATTAATCCCAAAGGGAAATTAAATGTTGGTGTAGCTCATTAATTCAGATTCTTCAAAGAGTTATTGGAGATGTTTATGAGGGAGAGGGAAGTAGGTCAGTTATGCTAACTTGACTCTGTTTTTTCTGTTTTTTGTTTCAGTTAAACAGGGAAACAAAGGCGACCCACACATGATTACATAAAGACGACACAGATCTGACAGATCGTCAGTTGAGCAGATGTTTAAATTAGCTAATCAACCACCACTGTGTTAGCTTAGCTAACAGCAGCGGTAGCTAATCTACCACAGCAATCACTTAATCACAAACGCAAAATAAACATCAAACCTAAAACCATAGCAGTGTATGGACTGAATGTTCCGTGTGGGAAATGTTTGTGTTTTTTTTGGTGTTGAATGCTGATACATTAGTGGCGTTGTTGTTAGTCAGTTGCTACGGCAACAAGTTTTTTTATAGCATAGTCGACAGCGAGGAAAAAAGAGGAATACGAGTGGCTTTGAGTTGTTCTTCAACGGTTTTTCAGCGTTATTTTTCCCTTTGTGGCGGCGCATCAAATTAAATTAGTAACACTTCCATCTCCAGGTTTAGTTTACGGAGTTGCTCTACCGCAGCAGCGCGGCTACGGATGGTCATTAGCGAAATTCCTGGATGTAAACAATAACATGCAACGTGTCTATACTCATTTATAGATTTATTAATAAATTAAAATATTTTGATGTGCATGTTTCTTGGTATTTATTTATCCATTTATTTGATATTTTATCATATTTTAGTTACTTACTATATATATCACACTTATGTATATATTTTTTTTATAGAATTTATATATTTGTATTTAACTAATATTTAACACTTTTTTATTCTAAAACATGGAGTAATTACACATGAAACCATGTTTATTTATATCTATACATTTGTCTAAAATAAATGTTAAGAATATAATGCTTGTAAAGAAAACAGAGCCGATCCTGATAAGCTCCACAGATACAAGCGGCAGCAGAAAAAAAGGGGGAGGAGCTGACAGTTACCGGTTGCCATGGTAACCGCCAACTGCCAAGAGCAGCGTAATGTAACTTACGTCACAATAAGATGTCAGGAGAGAAAAAAGCTTTTTGACTAAACAAAATGAGTTTGAAGAATAAATAAACCAGTTTTGACAAACTAACATCTATAATAATGAAATAAAAACCCTGTTACGTTCACATAGTCTGCGGTGAATTAAATATTTCGTGTCCTTGGCAGGTTTGTCATCTTTATGTAATCATTTTCCACTCAGATTTTTAGAAAAGATGCTTCATTGTGACAGAGCAGTTGAGCTCATGTAATTATTGCCAGGCTGGTTGAGATCTGGCCTGATCCCAGTGCCAACCATTTTGCCCATTGCAGTTCGCTCCAGTTCACCAGTAAAATAATGAACTCAGTCATTCATTCTTCATGTTTGGTTCACTGATTTTACTCTGTTTCTCTAATCCCACAGAGAGCCTTGCAGAAACTTTCATCCTTCCTCTTTCTTTGTGTAAAACTACAAACTTCAATGTATTTCAATGGGATTTTATCTGAGCTACAGTAATGCATAACTGTATGTATAAAGTATAAATAAGGTAATTCATACTTCACTTCATGTTGTGGAAATACTGCAAGGGGATTGTGAGACTTCTGATCAACTAGGGAGATTTAAATTACTTTTTTATTCAAATTTATGTCTTTAAATAAAAATTAACGTGGATCCAAAATTACATATTTCAGTCTGAAATGCAAACATTCGGTGAGAAAAATCTGTTCATTATGTCAAAATGATCAGATTGTTCATAGCTGTGGCTTTATTAGGCCGTCAACTTGTTTAAAATAAAAACATGAATTAAAGAAGCTGTTACTCATTTCCATTGAGTTTGTAGGAAGTAAAAAACTTGTTTTATGTAGTACTAAGCCTCATTTATTGTTAATCACTACATACTATTTAGGGCTGGACGGTACAGCTGAAAAACGTACAAGCATTTCATTTCAGTCGATATCAATAATTATTGATTCATTTTTTGTTTTACATATCTGTACTACAGACAAACTAGCGGTTGCTTTTCCTGTTTTATCCAGTTTTCACTCCAAACTGAAACCTGAAACTGCTCCTGCGCAAGTTACTTAATGGTTTTATGGTTGCTAGGCAACCAAAAGAGTGAGTGAGTTGCTAGGTAACCAAAGAGTGAGTGAGTTAGTCGGTGCAACTGAAGACCTCTGATCTATATCATAAAATCCCCCAAAACTTACATTAAAGTTTATGGTTTTTAATTTCAGGAATATGAATATTTTCTGCATGGCACTTTATGCAAATGTCCTTCGGCTTATGCAGCATCAAAACCAGGACTTTATTTTATGGTTTGATCCGAGATATCAGCTTCACATGCAATGAAATATGAAGCAAAAGGCAGCAGCTGTTAAGCTGGAAGCAGCAGAAAGTCTGAAAACCCCTGAATGTCTTCATGCTGTAGTCGACATGAAAGCAAAACTTACAGGCTGGACAGTTGCTGGGCTGGAAGTTATGGTGTGAAGAGGACAGATTGGATGTCACAAACTAATTAGAGTAAGAGCCGGATTTGGTTTCTCCTGGTTCCTGTTTTCAAGTCTTTATGCTTTGTGATGTTTATCAGCTGCTGTTGCATCACTTTTCGCGAGGAACTAAAACAGCATTTTATTGAAAATATCAAACAATTTCAGGAAGAGTCATGTCATAAATCACATCTGCTTTCATGTGGTTGGCTCTCTGCCTTGGTGTGCATAAGCTGAGCTGTCTGAACTGTCTTCTCTTTGTCTTTCTCCTCCTGTCGCCATGCCCCTTTACTCAGGATGTAAGTCCAGAAGATGTAGATTTAGAGAATGAGCCTTGGTATAAATTCTTTTCAGAGATGGAGTTTGACAAAGCGGTAAGTGGTCGCTGTTCTCACAACGACAGCATATCGTCACGTACTGCATGTCATGTAACATCCATGTTGAACGTCTAAACTGTCTGTGAGGTCTGCTTGTTTCTTCTCCCGCCCCACTGTGATCCTCTGAGTGTCTGATCGTATGGATCATTGAGGCTAAATACTGATTATCAGTCATAAAATGTATTGTTTTCTTGAATTTTCAGTTATTTTCTGTACTAGGCCTATACTGTTAGGTTTTGTACACAAATATGTAAAAAAAAAATAAAAATAAAAAAAAACAAATATCCTCACCACATCATTAAAAAGATAACATCGTCCACATGGGTTTAAGAAAACTTTTCATTTGGGCTGCGCGATATAAGTGTTTCATATCAATCAATATTGATAATTATTGATAAGTTTGTTGTTTCAAATGTCTGAACTACCAGACCGGTGGAGCGGCCTTTCCTCATTTATCTGCAGCTTTCACTTCTTGCTACTATTTCTAAGCAGTTATGTGGCAAAACCTAAAACTGCTGCTGCGCAGGTTACTCAACAGGTTGTTGCTAGGTAACCAAAGAATGAGTGAGTTGCTAGGTAACCAGAAAGCGAGTGAGTTAGTTGATTCCGCTAACCTAGCCTAGCAAGAACCCACACAAATCCGACCCTGATTGTGTTTTAAATATGCCTAGCCTGTAGAGGGCAGTGTAGCGCTATGGTAATACATATGTTAGCCAATCAGATTGCTTCAAGACAACCATAACTTCCTGTTACAAATTAAACATGGAGGCAAGAGACTCATTTGTGGGGACTGAAAAAATGTAAAGTACTTTTAAATTATTTAAGTTATTAAAAGACAAAATTATGTTGATTGGGAATCATGTCAAAGCAAGTATATGGATAAACTAACGACAGACAGCGTATTTCGGCCATTGTAGATAAATTACAGCATATTTTTACTCAAGTAGAAATAAAAAGCAGCCATCCAAGAAATGACTCAAGTATGAGTAAAGAAGTGTTTGGACAAAGTCAAACTGATTAAAACACAATTTGATATTTAAAAATTACATCACCAGACAGACCAAACGGCAACATTATGTGAAAATGTTGGTATTTTAAAGATCAAATGACATTAATTCATATACACAACAAAATCAGACAAAAGAAACATTTTTCCAAATCAGTTTCTTTCAGTATAAAGTTTGTGAAACTTTAATAAAAACTACAGGTGTGTCTCTGGTGAATGTTTTTAAGACAGTTTTGCTCTCCATTAAGTTACTCGCAGTGAGTAGAAGATCCAAAAAATTTGATCAATAGTAGTGATGCTTCAAAGTGAAATTACTGAAGAAAAAGCAAAATCACTTCTAAAAGAATTTTTTTTTTCAAAAAGTTTCTCTAGTGACTTTGCTGTTATAGTAAAACCATATTCTGATAAGTGACTCTTGCACAATATTCATGTTTATTTAGTTACACCAATAATTTCTTTGTGAAACTCGGATTTTGCTCCTCGTCTTTTGGCCTGCAGTGTTTTCTGAGCATGAGGTCTGGATCAGATGATTCACCCAGAACTCTCTGCTCGCTTGTAGTCCACCTAACAAGCAACAGGCTCCAGGGTAATCCGACTCTGTTATATTTACCAAAATTATCCGCGTGGCGCAGGTCTGAATCAGAGCCGTGACACATGCGTGCCTCGGGACAGAAGTGGTCCTAACTGCCCAGAAACAGATGTTGATTTCCCAAGCCGCCCCGCCCCGGGTCCGGTGAGGCGGCACCACTGGCTTCGTGTTCCTGCGCCGTCTAGACGCTGCAGTTTGAGGTTGGCAGGAGGTCCAGGAGGCTCAGTCCCGGTGGCAGCTGCCGGACTCGGTTTCTGTCTGGACGGGTGCCACGTGAGCTCGGCTTGATGACTGGCTCCTGTTTAATGTTAAAGCCACTTCTAAAGCTGCACCTGGTATGTGCAGCATTTGACCTTAAGGCCCAGCCAGACACCATGGCTCATTGCAGCTTGATTGACAAATCAGGAGTCGTTTGGTATTAGCGAAGGAGAAGGAGAAGCATTTTTCTATCTGCTGAATCATTTGTGTGTTGAACTGGTTGATGATTCATTTTCTGTTTCCTGGCTGTTTATTTAAAATGGTCTGGTACTATGAAGAGTTGATGGTGCCGTACATTCTGGCACTTCTTTCAAAAAACCCTCTAGTTAAAGCTGCAGTATGAAACTGTCACCATGTAATGACGGTATGAGACAGATAATGTATCTCTTCTGCTTTCTCCCAGTGCTCCTGTTGCTGACTAGAAACAACCAATTAGGGCCAGGAGGCGGGTCTTAGCGTTGTCAATCACCCTCTCTGCTACAATGTGGCTAGCAGTGAATGCTAAGGATAGTTAGTATGGCCACTGATGACGGGATATATAGTTTTCCTATAACTCCAAATTGTTACTCTGCCATTAGCACATTTAGCAGCAAGTACATGAGGATGATTGACAGCTCTAAGAGCCGTCTCCTGGCTCTGAGTGGTTGTTTTTGGTTGGGAGTGGTGCATTTCTTCAGACGGTACTAGCTCAGGAATGAGGTGGAGGAGAACGATTGGGTGGCAACGATCATGTTCTTTGGTGTCTGGAAAATGAGTCATTTCAAAAACACTCTGACTCTACGTTTACACTTGCAAACAACTGTACATCTTTGAAAAGCAGAAGGGGAGCCTTCTGTACAACCATCAAGAATGCAGCAAGTGCTTTCTGAATGGCAAGTCAACAACAAAACATGCGTCTTTTCCAGCAGCCATTGTGCAGCCCACACAGCGATGAAACCAGATGTGGTGGAACTCAGCTTGAGTTGCTAGGTAACAGGCGGAACTCAGCTTGGGTTGCTAGGTGACGTAACATTCTAAAGGTTTTTGAAACGGCTCATTTTCCAGACACCAAAAGACATGAACTTATTGCCAAAAAATGATTGGGTTGTTTTAGAAGCAGTTAAGACCCAAACAGGAGAATAAAAATGTGCAACATTTGAATTTTGCATAATAAATCCCCTTTAAAGATCAGTTATTAGCCAGAAACCTGTAACTTATGCACCTTTTGTCTGCAGAACTCAACCCAAGTTGAGACAGTTTCAAGTAAAGTATTGCAAAACTCAAAATTTTTGCAATGTGAGCTTTTTTTAGTTAAAAGCTTCTTGGCATTTTGATCAACTTCAAGACGTTTACAGTTCAACTTGAAGACTGGATTTGTCTAAATTCTATTAGGAAACAAATCATTTATTTTTAGCGCTTGTGGAGAGCGCTACAGATTGCTGGTAATGGTCCTCTTTAATAACGATAACACTTTTAAAGCTGCTTCTGAAAATACATCCAGTGACAGCTCCAGTCAAGCGGCGGGTCATCGGTATACATAGCCAGCTGGAGCCGGAGTTCCACACGTATCAATGCTCAGGAAGATCACTGAGGCCCCCTGCTACCGCCACAGCGACTCCATCTGCGGCGCGGACGCTGACGTCAGGCCCGCTGCCACCAGTCTCAGCGCCGCCCCGCCGCCACCTGACGTACTCTAAACGGGGCGACGCTAAAAGCCTGCCAGCTCATTGTGCGCTCATATTTAACCTCTGTTATACACTTAACCTTTACCTTTAAGCATTTAGCGGCGGCAGGATGAGCTCCCCTCACACACATGTTTGTGTTCATAAGAACACATCAACACGAATAAGGTTCTGGAAAGAATGGGCTTCGTGTTACAGCGGCCCGCTCTATTTTGACTGTGAAAGCAGCAGAGTGCAGTCCGAGCCGCGCGGCAGCTGTTAGGAAACGCGGCGGTTCTGATGAATTGTTGTCGCCTGTGTTCCTTAGATACCTCAGTTTGCATCCGCAGGCAGGTTTGTCTGAAAACTGATCCACTTTTTGGTTGTTTAGCTCATTTTTGAATGTACTTTCTCTGAAAAATCAATAATTTCAAGCAATGAAAATGTAATTTCTTGTTCTTTCTGTGGTAAAAAAAAAAAAAAAGGAAGCTTTTTTAAAAAAAAAATTGTTTCGGATGCTGTGTGACTAAACTAATTTTTGCCAATACTTTTTGTACTTTGCTATTTTGTGACGATGCGTAACCATAGCAACTGAAGTCAAAAATCCCATAGGAGTTTATTTTATTTTTCTTCCTTTGGGATTAATAGATTATTTTTCCTCTAAATTTTTCAACGAACTATTGTAAGAAACTTCTATTTTGAGATTTCGGCTGTGTTTGGGATCGTAACCTCGTTTTCTGTAAGACAGCTGAACCATAAACAGTTTTGGACGTTTTCCCACATTAGTTCCTTTCTGCTCTCTGCACTGTAAAAACATAAAATCTTACCAAGTATTTTTGTCTAGTTTTTAGTGGAAATATCTCAGTTCACTTGAAATAAGACAAAACAAACTTTTTTGAGTCAGTAATTCCTTAATATAAAAAGGTCTAGTTCCACTGGCCAGTTATTTCACTTATAACAAGACATTTTCCTATGTTATAAATGAAATAATCTAGCAGTGGAACTACTTTTTCGTCAATGTTAAGGAAGTATCAACTTAAAACAAACTTGTATATCTTGCTGAAAAGCTACTTGTTAGATTTGTTTTAAGTGTACCAAGATATTTGCACTAGAAAGTTAACCAAAAATACTTGGTTCTATTTTATGTTTTTGCAGTGTTTTACATAAAAACCTCAGAAAATAAAACACCATTAAATGACGTGGGACATTTCGTGCATCATCTGATTGTTTGTGTCTTTGTTTGAAGTACCAGGAGAGATCGGATGATTTGGGCAGAAAATGGAAGCAGGATGGGGTGAAACGGCAAACAGAGTAGTTTCCATCCCAGCAGGATGTATGTAGTGTCACCAACCATTATCTCCCATTTGCAGCGCGAAATCTTTTCCCGGGACGTCCCAGAGTAACACGACGCTGTGATAACACGGCCGGGTTAGTGTGAACCTGATCCATTTTCCCCCCGTTGGACGAGGAAACGTCCTCATAAACTGACACTAATCAGTCATCTTGTAAATAACCAGATTAAGATTCCATTCCTCCACTGCAGATAAGCCCTCCATGATTGTTTCCTGTTTACTTTCCACTGACGCTGTTTGTGTGTGAGCCCAATAACCGGGAGTGTCAGAGGACGCTCTCTTTTTGCCCCTGATAAAAGAGGTGGAGGTGGTGGGCTGGAAGACGGGGAAGATTAGTCGGTGACCCCTCGGTGTGTTCTCCAAGTCGCCATGGAACATTTAGCTTTATAAATAGACGCGACTATAGACCTGCCAGCCTGGTGTTCGGCTCCTACAAAGATAGGCTCTTATTCTCCGAGGGTATTAATGATCATCTGCCCCGGCAACGAGGTGGAGAGGCATGTTGTGGCAAATGAGCAGCGCAGAATGTTCCCGGTCATTGGTGTGGGAAGTGGAGGCTCGGCCGCGCCGCGGGGCTGCCAGGGGCGTTTGGGGCCGGGTTGCCATGTCTGGCAGGCAGTTTCCAGCCAAAAACAAAGTCAAACCCACCCTACTCCCAAAAAAACCCGCCCAGATCTCAACCTCTAATGAAATTCATGTTGATAGCAGCAGATATAGTTATGTATGTATAAATATATATTGGGGCTGAACAATAAATCATTAATATGTGACAGACACGTGATAAATAACGATAGTTACATCTGATAGAATATTCAAAATTCACTGAACTCCGATCCAAAACCGCACAACCTTTTAAGCTGGTGAAACCAACCAACTGGCTCGCTCTTTGGTTACCTAGCAACTCACTCACTCCTCGGTTACCTAGCAACAGCCTGTCGAATAACTGGCGCAGCAGCACTTTACAGTTTCACCACTTTGCCTCACAACTGCTTAAAAACAATCAGGAAACAATCACCAGTTTGGTAATATTTCAGATATTTAAACAAAAACAAACTAATCAATAATTGTTGACAAAGACAATTAGTGACACTTGATGACCAATAATTGATGTTGTCACATTCAAATTTTCAAAATAAATTAACTACTAAATGCAATAACATCATTTTATTAAAAGTTTTGTGCAGCTTTATTGTTCAAAAGCAGCCTTACTGGGAGGAAACTTGCCCAAACTGGCAACCCTGGGATGGTGGGAATGGGAGAGACGAGGGGGGACGATTGTGCAATCGTATTTGCAAACAACACTTGTGCTCTTATTCATAGAGCCTCGTTATTTTTACCTGCTGTGACGTCCAAAAAGAGGAAAGCAGCAGAAACAGTGGGCTAAAATTAGCTTAGCTCCAAAGCATTTTAAAATGCCGCTGGCTGCTGCTCTGCTCCATCAGTGACCCCAACAAAAATATGTGCTATTTCTCTTTATGTAATGCCAATTAATCTCCATTAAATGTCACTGCATTCGCTTTATGCTCCTAAATATGCAGAAAATTATTTATTCTTTCGTGTTTGACTATTTCTCTGTGCACTGCAAAAACACAAAATCTTACCAAGTATTTCTGTCTAATTTGTAATGCAAACTACAAACTAGAAATAGGAGCTTGTTTTGAGTCAATAATTCATTAATATTGATAAAAACAACTATTTACTTTATAACAAGAGTTTTCTCCCATATGATAAGTGAAATAATCTGGAGCTAGTATCTTTCATCAATATCAAAGAATGATTTACTTAAAACAAACTCTTATTTCTTGCTGAAAAGTTACTTAGTTTTGTATCATTTCAAGTTTACATAGATATTTTTACTAGAGACGAGACAAAAATATTTGGTAAAAGTTTATATTTTTACCGTGTACTATCTTTTTTGCACAATTTTGGCTTAATTACTGCTTTCAATATGTTTTTTCCCACCAAATGGCCTTTGTTTGAGTCTGTATGATCCAGTTAACGATTAGTCGATTGCAAAATCAGCTGACGATGATGTGAATAATCAATTAATCATGGTTAACTGATTAATTGTTTAATCGCAAATCAGTTTATATATCTGTGAGCTCTTGTGTCCATGTTGATAAGTGTAATTCAACTACCAATGCAAAATGTATTTATTTTTTCTTCAGTTTTTGCTTAAAAAATGCTTTGAATGTTTTTTTCCAACCAAAAGGCCTTTTTTGAGTCTGAACACGCCATTTAGCAATTAATCGATTACTAAATCTATGACTATTTTGATCATTGATTAATCACACTTAATCCAATTAATCGCTTAATTACTGCTCTGAATGTGTTGTTCCTGCTTTAAATCGGCTTTTTTGAGTCTGTATACTCCTGTTAATTATTAATCGGTTGCTAAATTAGTCGAGAGCCATTTCATTAATCGATTAATCGCAATTTATCCAATTAATCTTTTCAGCCCATCCCAGTTAGTGCATTTTTAGTTTGTATCATCTTGGGTTAATTTCTGCTCTGACTGTGTTGTTCTTTCAGTAATTAGTCTATTTTTGTGTTTATATGCTCCAGTTATTGATTAATTGATTACTAAATTAGTCTGCGACTGTTTCATTAATCAATTAATCGTGGTTTATACGATTAATCGTTTCAGCCCTCATATCTTTTGCATATTGGTGAGCTCCTGTGTCCGTGTTGATACATGTAATTCGGCCTCCTTGCCCCACCAGCTGGTTAATTGCCCCCCTGTCTGCTCCGCTGGTAATGAGAGCGACTCAGTCAGACAAAAGAAGTGGCTTCAGTGGGAGACAGCAGCTTATAGGCTGAGCCTGTGACAGCCGCCCCTCCCCGCATGGCGCCCCCTGACCGACGCACGCCCAGCCCTCCCTTCCCTTCCACTCTCCTTTCTGCCGCTTGTTTTCTCCCAACTTGCATGCAGGCCAAAACACACGCTTCGCCTCCCCACCCCGTCCATGCCTAGAGACGCTCGGAAACGCTCGACGCAGAAACACACGGCCGACCGAGAGGAACGGAGGGCAGAATCTGGCCTGACTGGAGGCTGCTGCTTGTTTCAGCGGGAGGAGATCTTCCTGTGGATCTATCAATGACTTCTTTGTTTGGTTTGTTGCAGAGTGCCCCCTCCTTCAGCCCTCTGGAAACAGCCTCCGACCTGCAGCAGTAGTAAGTCAACGCTTCTTCCTTTCTCCAGCTCTCCAGCTTTAAAATCTCACCTCATCCTTGCAGATTTAATGTGATTATGAGAGGGATGAACGGCAGTTTCCTGTTAAAGAGGCAAAAAGCCAGCAGAACAGAGTGTCCCCTGGCTGCATTTTGTGTTGTTTTCCCTTCAGGTTGTAGATATGGCTCCTATCGGGGGGGAGTTTATTTAAAGACAGGAACCTGGATGTCACTGGGATAAAGGGAACTCTCCCAGCTGCTGCATAACTTAAAAACTGTTACCTCTGCCTGAATGTTCTGAATGACCAGATCGTGAAGCATGAGCGATTAATCGGATTCATCAACTTATTTAGTGATCGATTAATTGGTAACTGGAGTAAAGAGACTCAAAAAAGAAAGAACAACACAATCAGAGAAGCAATTAACACAAAAAAATTACATATTTTACATTTAAGATAAAAGAAACCTGTCTTTGTCTGTTCAACCCAGAACTCCTCAAGTGGCATTTTCAGCTTCACCTGGTTCGAATTATGTAACAAAAAATCACCTTTTCTTCCAAATATTTCACTGCTGCTCTACTTTGAAGTGCAAATATCTTATTAGACTTTAAATAGGACAAAACTAACTTAGAAGTAACTTTTCAGGAAGATATAGAAGCGTGTTTTAAGTTACTAGTGAATTAATCTGCTTTTCCCTCAATATTAAGGAATTATTCACTTAAAAAGCTCCTATATCTTCCTGAAAAGTTACTTTTAACACTTGTATTATTTAAAGTGTAATAATATATTTGCACAAGTAACTAGAAAAAATTTAAAATTTTGTGTTTTTGCAGTGTTTTATGTTAATCCAAAGAATTACAGATCAGACTTTTTGCATTTTAAGCAAGAAAAAAAGAAAATAAATAATTTGTTCAAGTCCCAACGGGCAATTTATGTTAAAGCAAATATAAAAGAAGGGATAAAAGTTTATTTCATATGAAAAATGCTTAAATAAAAAAAATCTGCAGAATGTGGGACTTTTATTTATCCGACTAATCAAAATGATCAATAGATGAATTGATAAGTGGAATAACTGTTAGTTGCAGCTCCACTCAGATCAAAAGCTGCGTTTGATCTTGTCTTTGTGTTTGATGGACACTGACAGCGTCTATTTCTATGTCCTGCAATAAAATGCCAGGAATTCGGGGCCGCGGCGCGGTAACTGTCTAGAGAAAATAAACCTTCGTTTCTGCTTTCCATCTGCTGCAGTCATTATGTCACCAGGAGGGGGCGGCGGGGGGCGAGCGCGCGGTGGCTAAAATAAACCCCAAACCAGCTTTTTGTTCCATTGATACGTCTGTCGTCTGAGAGCTGGAAAGGAAGCGATCCCTGATTAAAGGCCGATGGAAGTTTAGCCACTCAAAATGTTCGCAGCGGAAAGTTTTGCTCATAAACCGACTTCCCTCTGAGGGGCAAATTATGGTTGCTTCGCTGTTTTCCTGCCTCAGCAGAGTCAGACATGGCTGCTGGATCTGACATATTTCAGAAAGGAATGGCTGGAATGATCCGGACTGGTTTGTTCTGTCATCATGATGCAGCAGAACGGATATAAAAGATATAAAACTGTCACAAGTTTACAAAAATCAACATTTTCTGTTTACTAGAACCTGCCTGACAACACGAAGTAGGCTACAAGCTCACATTTCCTGAAAAAAACTGTCATGTTTGGCATAAAAACACAATCTTACAAGTATTTTTGTCTAGTTTTTACTTAGTACACTTTAAATGAAACAAAACTAACTTAAAAGTAACTTTTTAGAAAAATATAGGAGTTTATATTAAGTAAATGATTCTTGAACATTCATAAAAAGTGAAAGAAAATGGAAAACTTCTGTTTTATTAATATTAAAGAATTATTGACTTAAAGCTCTTATTTCTCACTGTCTTATTTTTCAAGTCTAATTAGATATTTTCACTAGAAACTAAATGGATTTCCTGGTTTTATGTATGCAGAGGTTTTTTAACCTACTTCATGTTGTCAAACAGGTTCTAGAAAGCAGAAAATGTTGATTTTTTTTTTGTTATTTTTTGCAGTGTAAACAGAGCATCATGCTACCATTCCAACATGGTGGTGGAAGTATTATGGTCTGGGGTCATTTTGGCGCGTCAGGAAATAATTGTATTTTTTTAGCTTTGGACGAGAATCCGAAGCACACCAATAAGTTCAACTCTGAATGATTTCATGGAAATCCAGAAGTGGCCAAGTCAAAGTATGGAACAGGCCATTTTAGCTCAGAACCACTGAATGTGGCTGAATTAAAACAATTCTGCAAAGAAGAGTGAATCAAACTTCCTCTGCAGTTACTGCAAACAGTACACTGCAAAAACAAAATAGTAGTTTTATCTGGTTTCTTAAAACACGTTATATAAAACAAAACTAACTTTATTTTCCTCCTGAAAAAAATTAGTTTTGTCTTATTTAAAGTGTAATAATATATTTGCAGTAGAAACTAGACCAAATATTACTTGGTAAAGTTTTGTGTTTTTGAAGTGTTGATTGATTTTAGTTGTTTAGATTTGATAAAAGAGTAAAAACAACAAACCTGACATTTTTACCGTTATGTTTAATGAAAAGTGATCAGGAAAGGCTGTAAACTAGAGTTATGTGTGCTTTGGAGTCTAATGATGACAGAAATAAATCCCATCCAGTCTAAATGTGGAGGGATGTGCAGCATGAAGCGCAGGACATATGCCGCTTGGCGTTTGCTTTTACTAGAAGCTTCTCAGGAGATTATTTTAAATCTGATCGTAAATCAGCCACAGAAGCATTTACGTGAATTCCTGCTGCACACCCAGCGCAGACGCATTGCCAATATTTCCCTACCAAGGAGCCTCCTGTTGCTCAGTGATTTAAAAACGCTTCTCTGTCGCAGCTTTTCGCCAGAATGAGGACAGAAACCAGCACCAGCGCACGGAGGTGACACAGGTGCTGCTGATGCACCAGATGGGAATGTTGAGGGAATATTTATGGAAATCATTCCCAACGCAGAGAAATCTCCTCTCTGCCTTCGCTCTGGATCCGCGTTGGGCTTTTTCCTGCTCTAATTACATCACATCCCACAAGCATTTCACAAACTTACCCAGAATCCCCTTAATGAGGCCCATATGACGGAGCATTACCCTGATGCCTCTTTCTTTTTTTTAGATAATGACCTGTGGAGGGAAATTAGTTCCAATATTATTGCAACCAAGGAACATGTTTGAAAAATTAAAATGTAAGAAAATTGCTTTTGAAATTTTTTTTAAAAAAAACTTCTCAATCAAAAAAATATGATCTATGATCCATTTTCAGTGTGTACTTAATTATGCAGTTTGGTACTTTTACAGATTTTATTTTATTTTCAAAAAATATTTCAATTAAAAAAAATTACTTCTAAAGAAGTAATAAACAAAATTAAATCTGAAAAATAATTAAAAATATATAAATCTGAAAAAATGGTAACCTGCACATTTTTTTTTCAATTAAGTTTTCTGTTTTGAAAATATTAATTTGAAAAAAAGTAAAAATTAAATAGAAAAAGTAATAAAAAATTCAGTCTGAAAAAATTGTTTACTTCAAGTTATTTTGCTTCAATTTTTTTGAAACGATAAGATATTTTTTTTTAAATTAATCTGAACAATTTTAGAAATACATGAATAAATTAGCAAAAATAAAATCTGAGAAAATGATTAAAACTAAATAAATCTGGAAAATGTGAACTGCAAGTTATTTTTGCTCTTTTTAGTTTTTAAATTTTTCAAATTTTTAAAATAAAATCCGAAAAAGTACATTTTCAAAAAAAAATTAAAATGAGCAAAAATAAAACCCACAAAGGAAGTAATTTACAAAACATATGAAAAATAAAGTGCATAAATGTATGTTCAACTTAATTCAACATATTGTGAATTACATTCAAAATGTGAGTTTGATTCAGTTTCATTTTTGAAATGCATTTTTTTTTATATTTCAATTTTTGAAACATGCTCCTCGCCTTCACCAATATTGGAATGAATTTCTCTCCATAAATCACTGAAACACATACCAACATCCAAGCAGCCCGGCTGTGTTTGAGTAACATTTTTCTCTCTCGTTTGCGGCGCAGCTCCTCTAGCAAGTCTGGACACAACGAGGTGGAGAAGGACGGGGGGTCGTCGTCCGGCGAGCCCGCCGCTCCAGAATGCGACCGACACGTTTACAAGAGTGTCCTGGAGGGCGGCGACATTCCCCTGCAAGGCCTGCGGGCTTTAAACAAGCGCCATGGCAGCTCCTCCTCCTCTAAAGGTAGGACGCTAGCTCAGCTTCAAACATGGCCGCTCTCTGCAAAAACACAAAATATTAACAAGTATTTTATCTATTTATTTGCTCAAATACCTTATAACACTTGAAATGAGACAAGACTAAATTATAAGTAACTTTTTGGAATCAAATATGTGCTTTTTAAGTAAATAATTCCTTAATTTTGATGTTTTTGTTCCACTGGCACAAAAACATTTTCCCCAATAGATAAGTGGGGATGAACTGATCCACTTTTTTCACTTCTGATATCTGCGGTTCAGGATCGGCCGATCCGATTCAGAAAGCAGCTGAACTGACCTAAAATGTATTTTTTTTAACACAGACATAAATGTACTGAATTACAAATTTATTTGGTAACTTACATGCACCAATAGCTTCAGAAACTTGGTCAAATGTAAAAAAAAAACAAAAAAAAAACGTTATTTTTGTTCAGTCAGTGCAGTTAGGAGTAGAACAGCCAATGTAAAATAAACGATAAAGAAATTCAGGTTGACGATTTGGTCAAACGTAGAGCAAATTGTCTCCAACCTCACAATTGTCGATATTCAATTAAATTTATTGACTGAAAAATGTTTTTTAATAACGTTATCATTTTGTCATGATAGTTTGATGTAAGACAAATAATCTTTTTAAAAAAAATTGAATTCCTCCTCCATCTCCTAGTGCTAACTAGAAACAGCCAATCAGAGCCAGGAGGCGGGTCTTACCGCCGTCAATCACCTTCTTTGCTACGCTGCAGCCAGCAGTGAGTGCTAAAGCTAGTTAGCAGAGCCATTGATGACGGCTTATAAACAGTTTTCCTATGATGGTGAGTTGTTTCTCTGCTGATAAAACATTTAGCAGCGTGTACACAAATTTGATTGACAGCATTAAGACCAGCCTCCTGGCTCTGATTGGAATAGAAAAAAACAGTTTTGTAAAAGTTGCATACTGCAGCTTTCAAACAAGCTTCTGCTTTAGCTTTGATTTATTTCAATTGTACTAAAACATTTGTGCTGGAAATTAGACTAAAAATACTTTATAAGATTTTGTGTTTTTGCAGTGTAAACAGCTCTGAAAGCTGCAGATGTTGGAAAATGTTGAAACTTCTAGATGCATGTGATTCACTCAACCGTTCTGTTGGATTACACACAGAGCACATTATCGGCCAATCACGTCGCAGCATTCATTACCGTCTACAGCTGCATTTCTATAAACCAGGAAGTCATCAAGACGTTTATTTATTTCTGCCATTTATGGAAAGAAGTTAGTTCCAACATTATCACAAGCAAAGAACATGTTACAAAAATTTTAATTTGAAAAACTTCTCAATCAGAAAACAGGATTTTAGCATGAAACCTTGTACACATTTATGCAGTTTGCTCATTTTTTATTAAATTTTTTATTTCTTAAAAATAAAAAAAATTATCAGAAAATAAATTATATGTTATTACTCTCAAAAATTATTTTCTGACTGNGNAGTTTTTCAGTTTCATTTTTGAAATCCATTTTCCTCAAATTTCCATTTTTGAAATATTTTCTTAATATTATCTTAATATTGGGACACATTTTTCTCCTTAGAAATTCAGCTTAACAAACTTTAAGTCAAACTGAAAATCCACAATATTTCAGTTCATTTTGTGATTATATTGACATTAATGAAAAGTTGAGTGGAAGGAAAAAGTGTGTTAGAATAGAAAATACACAAGCAACAGGGATAAGAATAGAAATATAATTTATTGTCTCCACAATGGGCAAATTTCTGTGCAAAAGCAGCAACAAAAAAGGCAATAAAAGCTTTTTGAAAAATCTTAAAGCGAACAGACTCACAAAGACAGAATACAAAGTTACATAAAATGAATAAAATGCATTTCAATACAGAAAAGTCACGTTATGTTGTATGTTGTCCACAAATTGCCATAAATAAATCATTAACGATCCATGTAGGAGAAATTGGCTGCATCCAATCATATTAATGGAAAGTTGAGTGAAAGGAAAAACTGTGGTCAAAAGGTTCGCTTCCAACAGGGATTGAAAGCTTGTTTTCAAGAAGCTACTTTGAAAAGGTGATTTATGCTTCCAGTTCAATACACCAATATCCCAAATTACTTGTTATAAATGCAAAAGGTTGTTTTTGTTGTTTTACATTTATTCTTTCATTTATTACAAGATTTATTTATCATAAATCCACAAGTACAACTTTAGCAGAACAGACTTTGAATCCCTGTTACAATTTTTCTACCACAGTTCTTCCTTCCACTCAATACACCTGCAAAAGAAACAAAATTTTCTAAGTATTTTTGGTCGCCTTTTTCGTGCAAATATGAAATGAGACAAAACTAACTTACAAGTAACTTTTCAGGAAGATGTGGAAGCTGGTTTTAAGTCAATAATTCCTTAATAATGGTGAAAAAGTTCTAGTTTCTGGCAGATTATTTCACTTATTTCACAGATAATGGGCCCTGCGCCGTTACCTAGCAACGCCAGTCATGCACAGCCCGTTACCTAGCAACCAAATTCTAATTCCACTGACAGATTATTTCACTTAGAGTAAGACATTTTTACAGTGTTACAATTGAAATCATTTGCCAGCAGAACTAGTATTAAGGAATAATTGACCGAAAACAAGCTCCTCTTTTTTGCTGAAAAGTTACTTGTAAGTTAGCTTTGTTTTACTTTATAAGATATTTGCAGTAGAAATTAGACCAAAAATACTTTGTAAAATTATTTTACTTCTGCTACAACTAGCTAAAATAAAATAAACATCTGATGATGTTCTAATTTATTTCGATGCGCCTGTGGATCTTTTCACTTGTTTATTTTTTGACTCATGTTGGGTCTGAAGTCGTCTTGAAACCCAACCTGGTGGATTTTTCCCTCCGCTGCCGCCCAGCTGGAGCGGTCTCCAGGCAGAGAGGGCATGGATGAGGAGAGATAAACAGAGCAGTGAGATAAACAGAGGCGGGCGGCATGAGGAAGTCAGCTGTCAGTGTGGGGTCAGGAGCTGGAATGCAGAGCCGGGCTGGAGGGCAGCAGATCCAAGGCGGGGACACTTTGACCCAATGTACCGAGCTGAGCAAACATGCAACAGTTACCACTTTTAAAGCCAAACTGCATGGTAATTATAACCCTAATGCTAGAAACGGTGGTTGTTGTAAGCAGATGTGCAGCTACGCAGTGTGAAAAATTACCCATCCAGTCAACTGACTAACATGCAGCTCCTGCCTGAGGCTCCACCTGGGTTATTTGAGTCACTCGCTGCTCATGAAGCAGAGAAACAAGCCGAGGAAAGGCAGAAACCAAACACACCACCTTATGCTCACAAAATGTTAAAAAAATCTATTATTTAAAGGGCTGCCACAAACGATTAATTCAGTAATTGATTATTCTGATGATTAAATAATTATTCTAGCGATTAATCGGATAAAAAATATACATTCTACAGATTTTAGCCATTTAAGCCTTTTTTATACCATCTTATAAATACATCAAAATATACAAATAAACATATAATTCCTTTTTTAAAATAGGAAATACAATAACCTAAAATTCTTTAGTAAATCTGAACCGAGTGAAGCTAAAACTTTACAACTGAAAGAGTTTTGACAAAAACATATTTACAGACAAAATGCTAATTTTATATATTTTTGTACATTTTTGGCTTAAGTACTCCTCTGACTGTGTTCTGTCAGCAAATCGCCTTTTTTCAGTTTGTACAGTAAACGATTAATCGATTACTAAAGTAGTTGATGATTATTTCAATAACTGACTAATCATGACTAATTGTTTCAGTCCTATTTAAAATTAAAGTAGCAGCCAGTTACTTCTGATCTGTAGTTTTTGACTTAATCTCTGCTTTGACTATGTTGGGGGTTTTTTCACCAAATGGCTGTTTTTGAGTCCAGTTAGCGATTTATCAATTCCTGAATTACAGTCACGACTGGTGACTCTTTTATGATGTTTTTATGACGTAAAGCACTTTAAACTGCCTTGTTGCTCAAACGTGCTATAGAAGTAAACTTGAATTGAGTTAATTCAGTATTTGATTAATCACAATTAATTGTTTCAGCCCCAAATCTTTGTTCACAAAAAACAAAACCCTGACTCGCTGTGCTGCATTCATGAGCAGGAGTGACTCTTTTCTCTTCGTCTGCCATGAATAAAATGCAGAGTCATCCTCCGCAGCGTGTTTTCCTGACAGATTTGAATGTGGCGGATCGGTGACTCGCTCCGCAGCGGAGCCTCGCATCACGTGGAAGTGTTGTGTCATTTCCCAGCACCATCTGGATCGCAGTCATGAGTCACCAGGCGCTGACACAAGCTTTTCCTAGCAGATTTCAACATTTTAACTGCAGGGTGGCTGGATCAGGATGTATTTTTAATTCACAAACTCAGGGAAGCAGCGTGATAGCAGCGCCGCCTGCAGATTCTGAAAACATCAAACAATGAAAGCAACGTTAGAAACTATAACTTTTTCATATTTTATTAAAGTTTAGCTTGTGAAGTGAAAGGAAAGTTATGCATGGTTTTCAGTTGTCAGTGGTCAGCACTGCTGCGTTTCGGCACTAATCCTTTTTCTTCTACTTCACAATTTCTCTCTATTTTGCGCTGATCGATCACCTAAAATCCCCTGAAACACACAGAAGCCCGAAGCTGGATAAACACGATGAGCCTTTAGTTGTACTTAGCTTAAACAGCCTCCAACCTCACATGACATTTCATGGCATGTCGCTGTTTGAATGCCGTCTGTTCCCTCGTTGTGTCGAAGATACAGGCTCCTACGGTGGCCCTGAAGGTCCAACCACATCAACAAATCACTAAACACAGCTACAAATGGAAAAACACAACAACATTAATTGTGTTAAGCACAATTAAGCATTAAGCACAATTACAATAGAAGTGAGAAACCCAAGAACTTGGCTTTAGAACCGGATATTGTTCTGACTAAGCAGTGAGTGTTGTGCTTAGTTAATGTTGTGTTTTCTTAATTTTCTTAAGAAAACCCTTAATTGTTAGTTTTTTACTTTGTTTTCTCAATTTGTAGTTGTGCTGTGTTAATGTCATTGCGTTTTTGAATATTTTGTGTTTAGTGATTTGCTGATGTGGTTTGGCCTTCAGGGCCACCGTAGTTTCCTGCCAGAGAGCGAATTCCTCCTGGTTTCATTCTTACCATGCAGTAAACATCTACTTGATGTTCACAGCATCAAGTCTGCTTCCTCTCATCCACTTTTGATGGAGTTTGGTTTTTAGCTCATACTCAAACTGTTTTTGTGTGTAAACTTTGTGACCGTTGTAATCTAATATGTTGTTTATTCTGTTGTCCTGCATGCTTGCCAGTGGATTATAAAGGTGGGAATGGCTGTTTAATTTCACCCTGCTCCTCTGTAAATAGTCGAACGGTTCTTGCCAGTAATGCAATAGGTGACCAGTGTAAGAGTAAGAAGCCCCTGTCCGCTGCCAAAGCCTGCATACCGCAGATCCTGCCCTCTAAGTTCAAGCCCAAGCTGCTGCCACCCGGTGGTGACAGCCAGGACTGCAGAACCGATGCCGCCAGACAGCCCAAGTCTCACAGCTGCGAGGATATTTACCCAGGGCGCTTTGGTGAAGAGGAGGACCGGAGCGTCTCCCCTGCGGTGAGACGGAGCGCGTCCGGGTTCTCCAGCCTGTACCGCACCATGCATCACATCCAGCGGCCCAGTTCGGTCGGCTGCAGCCCGCACGGCAGCGTCCGCAGCCTCACCTCGCTGTTTGAGGCGGCCAAGAGCGACACAGAGAAGTCTGTCGAGACAGTCGGACGGGACAACGTGTCGTCACGGGTCAGCGAGTTCGAAACAATGATCCAGCGGTCTGGCGCCGCCCCCAGCCGCTCGTCGTCGCTGTCCGCCCTGGACTCCGGGCGGAACCCCAGCCCGGACCGCGTGGTGTCCGCCGTGTCCGCTGAGGCACTCCTGACAACCGAAGCCACAACGACGGACGTTAGCGCTGCGGCAGAGGGCGGGAACTCCAGGGTTTCGTCTCCAGAGGACGAGGCGGCTTCGTCATCGGGGGATGGACAGGAAGTGGAGCAGATCCTCAGCGGATCCAAAACCCCTCCGCTCCACCACCACCACCACCTGCACCACCTGAACCATCCGCTCCTCCTCAAGCCCAGCAAGTGCAAAGGCACCTGCCCGGCCTCCTACACCCGCTTCACCACCATCCTGCGCCATGAGAGGCAGCAGGACAAACCGGCCGCTGCAGAGAGGAAGGCCATGCTGCCGGGAAACCTCTTCCTTATGGGCCCAGCACCCTTCAGGTTACGGAAGAACCCGCAGCCGCACCAAACCCGACGGACACTGTTGGCCACCAGGGTGACGGCGGGCTCCCAGAGGCCCCTCATCCCGCGGCGGCTCTCCTCCCTGGAGGCCGTGGAGAAGCTGGAGGGCGGCGGGACGGAGCGGCTGAGTAACGGCCAGGTGTTTGACGCCAACGGGAACCTACTGGCAGCTCAACATAGAGGTCGTTACTCCATCCCTTTCACTGCTCTGTGGTCTCTCATTGATCTTCACCTTCCTCCTCCACAAAGCAATGCCACCGTCCTCTCATTTCCAGTCTGTGTGGTGTGTTCAAGTGACAGGGAACTGTCCATCTTCCATTTTCACTGTGAATGACAACTCTCATCCAGGAGTCTAGATTACGTAGAAAATTGCGATTTCGTCTAAATGCACTGCAGTCTAAAGGTGTTTGCACACCTGATACTTTGGTAGACTTGGTTAAATTGGGGATCAAAATTGCAACATTTACTACATTTTCAGCTGGTGCTGTTCTCTTTAACGCTACATTGTGTCAAACAAACCAAACTAATTAGAATATGCAGTTCTCCTCCTCGCCTGTAGGGGCGCTGCACTAAGAAAGGGTTTAGATTATTTGCCATTGCAGTGAAAAAGAAAACAGATTTAGATTTAGATTACAGTGAACATTTGGCCTAAACTATTTATTTATCCAAAGAAAACGCATTAATCTGATTAGCAGCGAAAACTATTAGGTTTGTTTTGGTGGTTTAGCACACGGGCTAATTTTTCTAGCCACACAATTAGCCTGTTTAGCTTAACATAGCTTACCTGTATACGATGTATACAACTCTGTTTTTAGCACCATTATGCTAACTCTATATAATGTATCAACTTAAAATCAAAATTATTGAACCTTTTATACACTGCAAATTGCAAACAAACCAATTTTCTCCTTTATGACGACTTTTTTGTGCAGTTCTCTTAGACTCCTTTTTTTTGGTGCTTTTTCTTGAGATTATTAAACACTAAATACCTCTGCTGTGGCCACGGCCTTTAGAGAGCTAAAGGCTGTAAAAGCATTACATCTGTACAAGTTATAGTTTACACTTAAATCTCTGTTGAAGATTGGCAAACACTTACCTGAAGTTCACCTGAAAAGTAAAAGCCAAACATTAAGAAAATAAAGAGAAAGCTGCTAAAACGCCTGGATTTCGTGACATAAATGATGATGAAATATCTTTTTGAAACTTTTCACCTGTAATTTGACTCAAACTGCATCTTTTAGGGAGGAAATACCAAAACAACTTGGGTTGTAGCTGTTTGTCACAGCCATACATTATAAAGTTCAGTCTCATCAGCAGAGAGTAGAGCTGGGCGACAGGCGTCAAAATAAAATCTCCAGTTTATTTCATACCAGATCCAGTTTCAATAGTTTTTCTTGCTCTCTTTTCTAAATAAGAAATTATAACTGACAGAAAAACATTGAATAAGTGGCTATTACTTCACTCACTGCTTCTGAGTTTTACATCCGAGTATTAAGGCACGGCTGAGAATTGTTGTGAAATTATGAGAATATAGTCATAATATCATCAGATTAAAGACAGTTTTACCAGAGGAACGTCTTAAAATTGCGAGAGAATTTAGTTTTAATAGAAAAAATGCTTGCAAAATAAATTTTTTGTTATTTTTTTCTCCTAATGTTTCAATGTTAAGATTTTATTCTCGCATTATTATGATTGTATCCTTATGAGAAGAATTATCCTGCCTAATATTCCAAGAGAAGAAGCTGTTAAATAGGCTTGTGAAACAAGATGGCCGCCTTGGGTGTGCTGACATTAATCCAGAAAAGCAATGGTGGGGAAGAAAGTCCAAAAATGTAATTAATCGTTAATAGTGATTTATTGACCTGGAGGTTTGAACATGTAATTGGCCAAAAAATGAACTCTGGTGAGGTTTGAATGCTGTGTGAACACCAAGCAGACCGGAGCCCACTCCAAAAACAGGACGTGGTCTACAGCACAGGGCATTCTAGGTAAATACAACCAAAACAAACACAATAGTCTAGCGCTAACAGGAGGAATGACTTGTGGTTTTTTACCAAAGACAAAAGAGAAATCCTACAATAGCTAATATCTGACGCTACTCCAGTTTTGTTTACATTTGGTGAAGGAGGAAATTGCTCTTCGCGTCTTCTTCGTTTCCTCCAGTGGTTCTTGGTGCAGCGCCCCCACAGGTGAGGAGGGGAGCAGGATTTTCAATGAGTTTGGATTATCTGACTCAGGCCAGTGTGAAGGAGAACCACAGCAGCTGAAAATGTAGCAAATGCTGCAGATGAACACAATACCTCATGTGAAGCATGATAGTGGCAGTATTATGCTTTGGTGCTGGCTTTTACCGCTAGATAGCTGTAGCACAACATTGACACAAAGAACCCATTTAGCTAATCAGAATTAGCTTTTTGGCAAAGATTGAAGCACAAACAGTAAATTTAACTTTGGTTCCACTGGCTCACCGCATGCAGACATGAAGCAGTTGGGGTCATAGGTTACAGTTAAGTTTTGAAATTACTTTTTTCTCTTTGTCATAGAAACCGGGCATCTTAGCAGAGATCTACAGGCTTTTTATATCCATTATAACCTTACGTAACTGATGCATTTCTATATTAATTTTGGTTTTCCGTCATTTTTCACTTTTAGACACATCGTCCATCTTCCCAAACAGATTAGATATTTCCTGTTTGGGAATTGATAAATTAATTAAATAAATTTAAACTTAAAAAAAAATGTTGGTCACTCACCATCAATACTCTCATGATTTCATGTTGATTTTTTATTTTTTACTGGAGTTTACTGTAATTTTATATATTTTTTTCCAGCATTTGGTCATTGTTTTCATCCTTGTCTGCATGCAGATGTTTTTTTTGCAGTGCACTTTGTTTTTTGTGGTCCTTTGATCTGTGCATGTTTATTATAGTATTTCCTTTCATTCAGTTGACTGGAATTGAGGAGGTGACTGCAACATTTTAGTTTGAAATTGCTGTCATGTGATGTAAAGTTAGTGATTAAATCACTTTGCTGTTTCTGTCAGACTCGTCCCCAGCTCACGGAGAAAGCCAGGATGAAGTGTTGAGGAAGCGTCATGGGGACAAAGAGGTGAATTAATCGCTAAAATGTGTGCAGATTTTTTAGAAATTAGCAACAGAAATGCAGCTTTCGGATTTGTTTTCCTGACAGAAAATCCTGGAGGAGCAGCGGCGGCTGAAGCGGGAACAGGAAGAGGCCGACATCGCGGCCCGGAGGCACACGGGGATTGTGCCGACGCACCACCAGTTCATCACCAACGAGCGCTTCGGAGACCTGCTCAACATCACAGATAACGCCGAGAAACGGAAATCAGGCGTCGAGGTACAACGCAGAGTCGAGTCTTATCACCGCTGCAGGCAGGAAGACGGAGGAGGGGGACTTTCTGCACACTGAAAAATAAATATTTTTGTCTAGTTTTCAGTGAAAATATCTTAGCACTCCTGAAATAAGACAAAACTAATGTAGGAGTAAATTTTCAGGAATATAGAAGTTTGTTTTAAGTCAATAATTCTTTAATATTGATGAAAAACTAAAAGTTCCACTGGCAGATTAATCAACTGTCCCTGCGCCGTTACCTAGCAACGCCAGCCCAGCCCGTTACCTAGCAACACCAGCCCAGCCCGTTACCAAGCAACCGAGTTCTAGCTCTGCCAGCAGAATGTCACTTAACAAGACATTTTTCAAAATAACAGAAACTGAAGTTGAGAAAACATTTTTGTGAACTGAAATAAATAAAATAAAAACCATAATTCACTAGGACTATATTGTGCGTTTATAAAATTAACTTAAACTGAAAATCGTTTTTGTGTTTATGGAATCTGTTTATTTGTCTTTTGAACTGATGTGAGATTTATTTTTTCCCCCAACACAAGCAATTTACGTCACCTGAAAAAAATCCAGGTTTTCCAAAAAAATTAATCTTCAAAAATTTGATAAATTGATCAAATTGATTTATCGCCCAACCTCCATTGAATTCTGTTGTTCCTAATCAATTTTAAGAATTTAAGAATATTTTATCCAAGGAAAAACATAATTTTCTGGAAAAAAAGAATGACACAAAAAGGAATTTTGATTCTGATAACCTCAGAAAATATATAAGTTTTAATATCATGAATTTAATAATTGAAAATAATCTTTTTTTCACGCAAATTTTAAATAGCAAAGAGTACCTGAGTTTTTTCTTCTAAGTATCTGATGTTAATATAAAAATTTGAGTGTATTTGGTGGAAATTTACTCCACTTTACTTTTTGTTTTCAGTCAAAACTGAAAATAAAAGCATATGAAGCTCACAACACGACCCAGGAAGATCTTCTTTTACTGAGTGCCATTTAAGAGCCAGAAAGAACAATCCAATTAAAATGTGCTGGAATTTTATTGATAAATTAATGATGTTGCTCGTGATTTTATCCAGAAAACTGAAAAGTTTCATTTCTACACAGAGAACTCCAGCCATGGCGCGCTTTGACTTCAGAGCAGAAAGCCTAAAGTAAGTGAAAATCATCAGAATAATGATAATAGTCAGTCGTTTTTCACAACTTTAAACTAATAAAGTTTGCTGTTTGGGTTTTTCAGGGAATTACCGTTTCAAAAGGGGGATATTGTGTACATAATCCGACAAGTTGATCAGAACTGGTATGAAGGCGAACATCATGGAAGAGTCGGCATTTTCCCACGAAGTTACGTTGAGGTTGGTTCAGTCGGCTAAGAAACCAGAAACCGTTTGCTGCATTTCTGTTCATTATGCAGAGGGCTCCACTTCTGCTTTTCAAAGATGTACCGTTGCATAATTGTGCATCTGTTTGCTGACTTTTTACAAAGAATGTACTGAACATGTTTTGTGTCGCCCATCCTAACGTACAATTAATCACCTTTAATGGTTTTATGTTGCAGCTCCTGCCTCCGACAGAGAAAGCCCAGCCAAAGAAAAGCGCCCCGGTCCAGGTTCTGGAGTACGGAGAAGCGGTCGCCCGCTTCAACTTTAAGGGAGACACAGTGGTGGAGATGTCCTTCCGGAAGGTGAATCATCTGTCTGTGGTGATGATAATACTACTGAAGCAGAACCGTTCTGACCCGACCTGGTGGTTCTGCAGGGCGAGCGGATCACGCTGATCCGCAGAGTGGACGAGAACTGGTACGAGGGGAAAATCTCCGGCACCAATCGGCAGGGCATCTTCCCCGTCACCTACGTGGAAGTGCACAAGCGGCCGCGCGTGAAGAACGGCGTGGACTACCCGGACCCGCCGGTCAGCCACTCGCCGCAGCGCAGCACCAACGCCTCGCCGCAGGTCAGCGCCGTTATCTGGGTCATGCTTAAGACTGGGCGATAAATTCATTGTTAACATGATAATATTTGAAAAATCTGGATTTTTTTCCACCAACGCTCTCTGTGGGTTTCCATGGTCCAGGGCGGCCATCTTGTTTGACAAGCATGTTTTAAAACTTCTGTTTATTTGGATTCTGAATTCAAGGAAACTATACAACAAAATATTACAGCCAAGCTAAAATTGTTCATTTATTATGCAAATAAAGTCATATTGTTCCAAAAATAAAGTCGGAATATTAGGAGGATGAAGTCGTAATTTTATGTGAAAAATGCCAAAAAATCAAAATGAGAAATTTGGAGAATAAACCTGTCATAATAAGCAATTAATAGCATGATAAAATAAAATTAGATTAATAATTTCCACTCTGACGATTCGCATTTTTTGAACTAAAATTTTATTTACAGAGACTTCTTAATCCGTTTTATTTATAGCTTCAGTTGTGTGTGAGTTTTATTTCTATTTTCTTTATTATTTTTAGTTGTTTTGTTTATTTATTTTGGACATAAAAAAAAAACTTCCAGTTCCAATATTAAGTACTCGTCACCAAATTAAGATTTATTAGTTTTTGAAAAATTTACTTGCATTATTATTACTTGAAAATAGTCTGGCAGTATTTCAGATATTTAAAACTAAAAAGCGAATCAATAATTATTGATATCAACTGATATGAAACACTTATATCATGATACTTTTCTCAGTAATATCATCAAGCCCTACTAATACTATGACTTTATTCTTGTAATTAAACAAATATTCTTGTAGCCTGGCCTTAATACTGACAGACAGACAGACAGACATCAAACACTTAAAGCAAAAATCCACTTTTTGAAAATATTTTCTCATTCCCAATTTCTTTTTTAGGAAAACATTTGAAAGAAAATTGAGATTTAGTTTTTAACTTGCCCAGCTCTCGTTATGTCCCTCTGTGTTCACTTCATCTCTGTTTTGTTGTTTTGGTGAATTTTTCTCATCCTTTATTTCCCGCTCTGCTCCCTCCATCTTGTGTAAAAAGCTGTATCGTAATCGCCTCACCACCTCCCCCCTGCCGCTGCCCCGCTCCCCTCGCCGCTCCGTCTCGCCCGAGGTCCACGCCGTCTCCTCCGAGTGGATCTCCCTCACCGTGGGTGGTGGCAGCCCCCCTGCCGCCCCAACACCCCCCCTGCCGCCGCCGCCCACCGTCTCCTACCGCTGGGGCGAGTACCTGCCCCCGCCGTACTCCGCCAGCCCCGTGCCCTACGTCTCCCCCATGGCGTCGCCCTCCGCCTCCCCGCTGCCGCCGCCGCACCCGCCCAGGCCCGGCTCGGCCACGCCCTTCCTCACCTTCACTCCACCGCAGGGGGAGGACTTCCTGTCGCGCAGCGTGAGCCCCAGCAGCGGGCCGGTGCTTGAAGGCTGGCTGAGCGAGGTGGAGAGCGCGGAGGGGGAGCGGGTCCGGGCGGCCCGGGGCAGCAGACAGAGTAGCCCTGCAGAGGTACCACCTGCATGGTGTGTGGTGTTCACTGCAAAACGACCTTTGACCTCCCTAGAGTAGCTGTGGATGTGGTTCTGATGTGTGCTCATCACTTTTGCAGCGCCTTGGAAAAGTATTCACAACCTCTAAATCCAGTGGTGTCCAAATATGTTGCCATGAGAACCAAATCATTCATGCTACAATAGGAATGCTGTGCTGCAGCATTTTAGGCAATAAAATATGTATTTTCTTATTCAGAAAAGGAATTGAATTGATAATATGCACTTTTGATGTATTTCTAATATTACATAAACAAAACTTAAGTGAGTCAAAGAAAAATCTGCAAAAACAGATTGCAGATTTAATATTTAACTGAATATTAAGATAGTTGTTAGTTGCAGTCCTAACTACAATTACAAATCTTAAGTAGCTTAAATTAGAGACTGGAAGAAAAAGAGGGTCATTCTTCGTGTCATTTACAATATTACAGAACAGGAGCATCTTTACGTAGGTATTGTTACCTACTCCAGACTCCCCCTAGTGGTTTGGAGGACTTCCTATTGTGGAGCAAGTTTGCAGCCTTCCATACTTCCAAAATAGAAGTTTTGCTTCTATTTTCTGTTTCCAACATTTTTATTGCATTTGTTTTGCCGTTTGCACTATTAAAAAACAATTCATAATTTTCCCTTCCATTCCTCAAAACTGCTCTGTTTTGTGTTTTGTCACGTAAAACCTCAAATGAAGCTGAAAAACTGAATTTGATGATTTTTAACGTGATAAAATGTGGAAAAGTTTTAGGGGTGTGCATAATTTTTCAAGGCACTGTGGGTTTGACCTGTAGCTGCACAGAGTCCTGCTGGTCTTCGCAGAAGATCGAGGCTGTAGCGCAAAGCATGCTGTTGTGTGTTCACTAACATTCAATGGTTTTGCGGTGTTTGTGTGCCTGCATTTCATAGCTGTGAAAGACTTTCAGGATTAGAAGAAAAGTTCCAGTTCAACTCCTGGCATGAGGATATGAAAATTACGACCAGTTGAGATCGTTAAAGATAGTTCTGCCAAGACAAGCTATTAGAGACTGACGCTAACAGGAAATGCTAACTACTTCCTGTGCATCGATAGCTTAGCTGCTACTGGACTTTGGAAGTTTAGTCAGGTGACCATTTATAGGTTTCATGTGTGTTAATTAGGGATGTAGACAATTAATCAACTTATGATTAATTGTGTAATAATGGTTTATTAGATTAAAATTAGTTCCAATCGATTCACTAAGAACGTCCGCTTCGACCTTCTTTTAGTGTTGTAGTTTGGCCTTCATCCAGCAGAGGGCGCCGCTGGTCATCCTGAAGCCGGGAGTCCGTTGATACAGACACTA